TACTAATCTTAAACCAGTCTTGGCCGGCTCAGTGCACTTGGCTCGTCCAACAGCTTTGGAGGCGGCTGCGACTCCCTAGGAAGGTTTTGTCCCGCGAAGGTTGCTGAGAAATACTTGGCATATTAACCATCTTTCCCCTCTCTGCAGGGTGTCCTCTCGCTCCAGTGTCTTCCCTGTGCCTTCCCCTCACTCCGTTGCACTGTGGGCTTTTGCACTTGCTCTCCTCTGGTTGTATTCATCTCCTGTCCTTTCCTGATGCTCCCCCCAGTCTTCCTGTGAGTCCCCTCTTGTCAAGGTATCTCTCCTGTTGCCCCTCCCCAGTCCTTGGTGTTCAGCTGTGTACAGACCTTTGCTGTATCTGAAAGAGGAGAGCAGCCGTGCCGAGAGGAGGGTTTGGTTTCATGTTTGCAATGAGTGGCATTTATTTTGCCAAGGACTATGGGACTCCCCTTTGCTTGTCTCTCCCATAAGAGCTTTTCCTTCAAGAGAGTTCGCCCAGCAAATGTGCTGCTCTCATGTCCCTACCTACAATTCACTCCTCAACAGTTCTCTTGTTGACCAGCTCCTCAGTCCTACACTGAGAAGGGAAAAGGATGGAGACAGAATGAAGGGAAGGCAGGAGCCAAAGGGAGAGAACAAGGTTGTCTGGGATTAGGTCCCCTATAGGTTCCCAGCACTGTCTCGCTCCTGTCCACGGACTCTCCTTGGTTCCCTGGGATAGACACGGCACAGACTTTCGGAGTAAGGAGTCCCCAGCATTTTGCAGGAGACTCATTCACCCCCAACTGTATGCGCTGGTGGTCTCCCATGCCTTGGCTTGTCCCTTCTTTCCATGTCACAAAGCTACCTGATAACAACATGAGGGGTTCTGCTGAGAGGAGCCTTGTACAACTTCCCTGGCTTTGGGTTGAGATGAGCAGCCTCTCAGTTTGGGCACCCCCCATCTCCATGGCTCTGACTCCAGCCACAGGAGTCATGAAGGCTGCTTCCTGAGGCCCTCTGGAGAATGTTCTCATCTGAAGGAGCTCCTGCTTCCCAAACCTGCAGTCTTGGGTGCCCAGTGATGGCCAGTCCTTCAGCTTCCCTTTGTTGTTGATGCTGCTCCAAGTGATCAGAGACCATTTAGGAGACCCAAAGTGGGAGCTGGGTACTTAAAGGAATGGGATGAACATGAATTTTCCTTCCCAACACCCCTGCTCTCAGGTCAAAGTACTGACTCCCAAAGGAAGCTTTGGGAGGCTGAGAGATGCTTCCCCTTGGAGTCAGTCCTGCTGGATTTTCAGGGTGAGACTCCTTTGAAAGCATGTGTGGAGAGATCATTCAGGTGGGAGCTCTGTGCACCATGGTGAACTCTGTGGCAAATTCAACCCTGCAATGTTGTGGTCTGTGATGAGATACCTTGTGCCCAAGAAGAACGGTCTCTTGAGACCTCTGTCTGCTGGATACTGCCCTCCTTGCTTTGCACAATGCCGGCCCAGAGCTGAAACCTTGCCTGCCTTTGCTGTTTGCCTTCTTGTTCACCACCAAAGCAACTGGATATCTGCTGGAGAAGACACCAACCTGACTGCTTCTCTTGTCTTTATAGGTACCCTGCCAGAATCAAATCCTGCATTGGGGTGGGGGGGGTGTTTAATCCTGTGTGTTTAACAAAGCTGCCATCTTTGTTTGTCTTTCTTAGGAACTGGGTGGTTAAAAGACTATTTGGAGTGAAAAATTTAGGGTGGTCACATTTCAGAGAAGTGGAGGGAGGAACATGGGGATGGACGGGCAGTCTGTGGCCTGGAGGTGCCATGATGGTTGCTCAGAATAACTGTGCCCGTTGGGCTCATGCAGCTTTGTCGTTTCGGTCCCAGGGATCTGCTGTCTTTAAAACAACCACCCAGCAGAAAAGGTTCCCCATTCCCTTAAACACGTGGGCCTGGGAAATGTGCTTGTATGGGATTGGCACACAAGTCGGAGGTCACACATGGGAACTGTGTTTCGTGCAACCTTAAGCGTGGTTTTTGCAGTATGTGGGAAACGCATGCAATCCAACGCAGAAAGAGAGACTTTGGAGCACAAACTACACACTGCCAGCTACATATGAAAAACACGAGCCCAGAGTGAACGCGACAGAAGCCAGCCTGGGTTTCTTTGTGGTCTGGGTTGCTATTTTTCTTCAAGCATTGCTGCTGGCTTGTGGCAGCCTGCGCCGGTTTTATTTTTGCATCTGTCACGTTGCCACAGGACATGGGGAAACCCGATTTTCTTCAGGTTGCTGGTTATTCAGGTTGTGGCTATGTGCATTAACTCCTCAAGCATTGTATAACACCTTTTGGGAGCACCATGCAATGGCACGAATGATGGAGGCATGACCGAGTATGGTAGGTATAAACATCTGTAGTGCAGTGATGCTTGTTCTAAGCACTGTTTCCAAATCATTAAGGATGAGGTGTCTGCCTGAAATCACATCATCACATGGTGTCAGATGAGTCTGTACTGAAGCCAGTTCCCTTGGGAAGCTTTGCATTATTGCCTTGTGGAAAAATGCTGCCTGCTATTGCAACCCTGTGCAAAGCCAGAAATCCTGAGTTCTTCTCGCACCTTTTCTTTCCTCTCTGTGTGACCTTGTAAATCCTAGCAAACCAGCTTATGAATCCAAATCCTGGTCCAGGTTTCCAAGCGAGTGTCTGAAAGCATTATGCCTTAAATGAAAATGGCAGTGGCTTTCACTGCTGCCTTGGCTAACTGCAGGGATGAGAAAAAATGTTCCTGCTTCAGAATAAGAGCAAAACAAGGAAATAGCAAAGCAATGCCTAAAATACCCACGGGGATGAACTGGGCAACTGTATAAGGTCATGTGGGGGCTGCCTTTTTAATGAGCATCGCTGGGAGAGTGGGCAAAGCTGCTGTGGCAATGAATTATAGACTGTGTTTGGGTCAAAAGGAAAGTCGAAATGCAGAGCTGTGGAAATCTCTCCTGGTGCCTCTGGCTGCCACTGCTCTTCCTGTCCTGGGGCCTGTCTACAGACTAGCCCTGCAGTTGCTGCCTGCTCTATTATTGAGAAGTTATTTTCCCCTCTCTTGTATTTAAGGTGTTTGCTAACGTGACTGTGTGCCTGCCCCTTGGGGGTGAGTGAAGCGCTGAACACGTCTGACCACGTTCGGGTTTAGCTAGAGTGGGGATCATCAGTGTCTCAGGCTGTGGCCTTGTATTGAGGGATTGGAAATGCTCTAGCCCACTGCAGCAGACTGGGCTATAGGCTGCACTCTGTATCAGTTGCCAGCTCACACTTATACCCATCCTCTCTCTCTCTCTCTGTCTCCCTCTACTCTTTCTGTGGGTTTATATGCTAAATCCTTTCCCCCTTTAGCCCTCCCAACCTTCTTGGCTGTATAATGCATTTCATCGGATGGGAGAGAGACAGACAGAGGTGGAGGCTGGAAGCTAACGTCTCTATGCTCCATGGCTCTGCTTTTGGATCACCTGCCAACCCTGCGTTTATGGGAGTGCAATCTGAAATGTGTGGGGTTCCCCCCCTCCCTCTCCCCTCCATCCTTTCTTCCTTTATCGTCTGTGTCCCTCTCCGCCCAGCCTCCCCTCTTCCCCTGACCCCAGCCCCCTTTCCTCTTGGTCTCTGACTGCGGGGCGACGCTATCTCACTCTCTGATTCTTTGCAGATGGACGTAGTTTACACATTCCAGACCGGAGCCTCCTCTTTACAGGGAGCCCTCAGGAGACAGCCTTCCATCGTGAGCCAGCACCACGATGTAAAAAATGTTTCTAGCCCAACCCATGTAGCTCTTTCTTCCGTCAATTCCACTCCCACCACTTCTGCTGCTGCTGCTGCTGCTGCTGCATCTCCTACTGCGGGCAGTGAGTGATAGTCTATTACAATGCATGACTTCCTAATAACACAAGAGAGCACTTGCACTGACTTAACCACACCTGTTCTCTCTCCCTCTTCTTTCATCCTTGACTTGACCAATTGTTTTCTTGACCTAATGCGGGGAGTGAAGGGGGAGACCAGGTTTTATTGATTTCTTTATTTTATTTTGAAGCTGTGGCTCTTTTTAACCATTTTCCAAATCCTCTCTGGTTCCTTTTTCCTTTTTTTCTTTTTTTTTTCTTTCTCCTCCTCCTCGTTGCTTTCTTTCTTTTCTCCTCTTTGCAGGATGTGATGTCTGATTCCGCCCCTCTGATGGGTGCAGAATTGGAGGTTCTTTTAAAAGAGCCATCTGGGGCAAAGGAGCACAAATAAAACCACTGCAGGGAGAATGGGGAAGCTGGCTTTTTTTTTTTTCCCCCCACCTCCAAAAAAACAAGGGGTTCTGATGTAGCTTCCTCCTAGTCCCCCAAGCCGCATCTTTTTGTATGGAAGCCACAAATCTTTGGAGGATAGGACACCACTCGGTTTCAGAGTGGACTTGTAAGTGGGCAGCCTCCAAATTGGGTCCGTTAGAGATGGGGCTTTAGATGCAACCTCAAAGTTCGCAGCTCCTGTTCAGGACAGCACTTGAGCATGGGCTCATGTCCCAAAGTCACTTGCACTTCAGCATCTCATCAGGTACCAAAGGCGGTCCTGACTAGGAAGTGACAGAAGCACCTACAAATGTGCTGTTCTGAATCGGGGCCTTACATGGGATGTCAGTGATGCATAAGCCTTGTTCAGGCTCAGTGCATTGCATACCATCTTGCCTCGTGTGTGCATCCAGTACCTAGCACATGTAGCAGGTTGCCTTTTTGAGCAAATTTTTTCACTTGTTCATGGAAACACCCGGCTCTTCTATGCACAGACCATGCGTGCAGATTTGAATGGCACAGCATGTCGCCTTTCTCAAATAAAACATGCATGGGGTAAAACCCCATCTCTGTGGAGGCTGGTGCTTGAGGGGGTCAGAATTTAACTCGATGAGCTGTCACAAAATGAACGTAATGTTTCCCTTGGGCTGTATCAGGCCTGGGAGGCTGCAAGTGTGAATTATCTCTCTGCAGGTCCTTGCCATGCTATGAATAGTAAAAAATATATATATATATTATTGTTTTTTCCACAGATAATTGGCTTTTTTTTTTAATTGCACCATCATTTTCTTTGTCTCCTCTTATTAAAGAAACATCCTTGAGGACTTTTTTTTAATTGCTTTCATTCTCCTTTTGTTTGCAATATGTTTCAAAGGAGGGAGGAGGAGAAAAATCCCTGATCATTGGGGTGGTTTTTGGTTTTGATGTCTTTTTTTTTTTTCCCCTCTCTATTTAGCCAACACTGATGTCTCTCTATTTTTTTTAACCCCAAGTGTTTCTGAAGGAGCATGGCTGCCTTTTGTTTACTCTGCATCTATGCACCAGCATAATAAATTGTCAGAAGGAAATGTGCTCCGTTTGGGAGCACTGATCAATTTTAACTTTGCCTCGGAGCCAGCAGAGGGAAGTACATGTAGTGGATTTTGACAGCTCCTGCCAAAATAGATCATTTCTGCACTTTAATGTATTAATACTTCTCCCTGATTGCAGGGGGGATGGATAATTTGAGTGAATAATAGCATGTGCTCCCATATAACAACTTTCCCCAAAGAAAAACAGGTTGCTAAGTGTTCTCTGAAGTTTAATCTAGACTCTGCTCTACTTCCCTTCCTGCTGCTTTCTGTCCTTCTTAAAGCTGCCTTCCCCTGAATACAAATTAACTGATCCCTCTTGGCATCCACTTCTACATGGAAAATTTCGGCAGCCCTGATTGCTATACTTCTCTTAGGTGGTGACGGAAGAGAGGGAGACCTCTTGAATGAACTACAAAAGGTGGTTTGTAGAATTAGCCTCGTCTCCATGGGGAGTTTTGCCCTAATTTTGCATGCAGTGGTAGGTCAACCACATGCAAGCAGCATCTAGATGTATATTACAAACCACACTTTTGAATTCATCCAGTTTACACTGGCTGCAAGCAGGTGGGAGCTTCCCCACTGTGACTAGTAGCTTTAACTATGGGTTTGCACTGGTGCAGTTACTCCAGGGCTGAAAATAGGGCAAATCCCAAGTGCAGGTGAAATTTAAGATGCTTTGTAGGCTGTGAAATTTTGGAGCAAAAAGGAAATACTGGTCTTGGTTCTGGACACTCACTGGAGTCTTATCAGAGCAGTTGCCATACGCCATTGATGTTAAACATGGCTGATGCAGATGTTGGCAGCTCCTTTGGACAGAAGCATTGCAGGATCCACTTACGGAGAACTGCATAAGTTTTTTGTTTGTTTAATGAGCTTTCATTAAGCAAATGCAATTCATGCCATGCTCTGAAAGATCACTGGTGATGGAGCCAAAACCACCTACAGTGCGAAGTGCATGGAGGAGGGCGTAATCTGGGTGGATTTGGATGCTTGAACCAAACGTGAGGCTGCAAAGCTGAGCTCGGAGATCCTGCATTCAAAGGCTTTTGCATAAGAAGCACCAGAAATTCTGCTTCCATCTGGGCTGGAAATAACACACGAATAACCTTTCTTGCAGTCTCTTGAAGTGTCTGCCAGAGCCTAGAAGCACAGAGGGGGCACCTGGAAAAGCAATACATTGAAAGTCTCTGAGCTGTTGGAGCCTCAGCATGTTTGGGTTTGAGTTTTTGGGGCAAGGGTTTGGGTGGGATGCATCTTGTCTGGACTGGTTTTTGGGGTTGCATCAATAAAAAGGTCCCCCTTCCTGCTCGTCTTCCTCTGACAGACTTGAATTTACAAAGGTTTCCCATTGTTTGTGCTAACAAATTGATGGTTCAGCTCTAGGAACAGCTCCCCCTCCCGTCACCTAGTCCTGTTGTTTAATTGATGTAGGGGAATTGAAATGTCAGAGGCAGTGGCATGGTACAAGGGAGCTCCAAACAAACCGACTGTCAGGATGTCTATGGATGGGCTGTCATCTACAAGTGCTGTGAGGGGGGAAAAAGCATGAGCTTCTGCAGCTTGAGCTAAAAGTCTAGCTCTTAACTCGAAGAAAAGAGCAGACTAATGAGCTTCCTATGCGTGATCTAGCCATGCAATGCCACAGTCACCAGAACAGCACCGTTGCATTAGAGCAGCACCTCCCCACATACACATCCTGCCTAACTAGCACGCTGTACTGCGCAGACCTACCCCGAGACCTGTGCTATTACTGTGTGTTACACAACTGACCTGGTAAAAGGCTTTGAAAGGTTTAGAGGTGACACCAACTTCGTGGGTACAAATGTGCAGTCTGGATCTGCGGAGCAGCGGCGCGGCTGAGATTTTCAAAGTGGTCTTAATGGATTCGGTCACTGATGGACAGGCATCTAAGTGCCATTGGCTGCTTTGAACAAAATCTCTCTTGCGTGTTCATTGTTTTATGCAGACTTGTTCCCTCGCGGGTTTGCTTCTGTGTCTTTGCATTTTACAGGGGTTCAGGGCATGTTTTGAAGAGCTCTCCGCTGGTCTTGGGAGAAGTCTGAGTGTGTACCTAACAGCTCTTTTATTTGCTACAATTTCAGGCTTTGAGGACTTGAGGGTTCTGCTCTGCTCTCTTCTCCCCTGCCCCCTTCTGACATGAAAGCTGGGAGGTTTATCCCACTAAAACAAGTACCTCAGATCAAGTTGGAGTGGTCCCGTAGGAATGTGCTGATAACTTCCTGCCAGGAGTTCTGGAAAGACACAGTTCAGAAATGATGTTGTGCCCATTGAATGCCCTGACACAAGAGGACTTGAGCTCATCAGTAGCTTCTGCTTATTTTGAAGTGCTTGTTCCAGGCTGCACAGCTCTGGGAGTGAAGTGACAAGGAGGGATCAGGATTGCTCAGCTTGCGAAGCGCACGTGTCCTTTGCACCATGTTAGGCCCTAAACATTTAGGATTTCTCTAGAGCCTTGAGCTGCTCATTTGATCCTGGATCTTATGTAGTGAAAAACATCTTTGAATTCCAGCTGCCCAAGACAGAACATCCATGCAGAGAGACCAATCCACATTTTTTTCCCTCCCCCACAGGCCACGTGGCTCTTGTCTGAGTGCCGAGGCCACAAAGTTGGGTATACACTCAGCTCTTCCAGAGATCTGTCTTCCACGCCATTCGGCGCTGAAAGCTCATGTGCGTGCTTGTCCCTCTGCTTGTTTGTGGTGTGAAGAATGGCTTGTTTTAATTTTGCCCAAATTGTTTCATCTCTGAAGCTTTTCCTGTGCTGGTCTGAGTGAGTCTGGATACACATAGTCACTGTGGAGCTGCTTGAGACAACCATCATATTCAAGGTGGAAAGAGAGCGCTCCTACTTCAAGAAGAATAACTAACCATGCTATAGGTTGTCTCTCCAGGCTGGCAGGGCTGCCTCCCTACACTTCCCGTTGAATGATGCCTCCTTTTCTGTGTTTTGTGAATGCTCCCATTGTGTTGAGACCAAGGGTCTTTGGGGACTTTCTTTTTATTTGGGGGGCTCTGGCATGTTGCTGTTTGGTCTGTGGCTGATGCATTAACCAAAGAGGGTGTTTAAACCAGTGAATGTCATCGAAGGTAGCATGCTATCTCTGGTTGATTTGCTGGGATTTGTGGCCTCTTCTCCAAGGCTTGATAGGGGAGTGCAGTTTGCTTTGACAGCTTGCTGATGGAGGACTCAAATATCTTTTTTCCCCCCACTTTTCCTCTTAGACTGATGCTCATTGAGAAAGGGGAGCCCTGGAAGCTGGTGATTTTGTATAGCAGTGGTGGACTCAAGGTTGTATCTCTGAAGTAGGTGAAGAGGACTCGGGATTAGGTGTAAGCACAGCCAGCTTCCAGGGGCCTGGGGGAGGCCTCTGCTGCTGGGACATACCTAAAGTAGCAAGAAAGCAGTGGTTGTGACAGCACAGAGGATGTTCTGTGCTCTGTGCAGTAATAAAAGGATGCCAATGTGTGCTGTATTTGGTGCTGCTACTTGCAGCCACGTGGCAGTTTGTGTGCTCAATGCTGCTCGGTTCCCCAAGCACATGAGGTGCCTGTAGACATGCTGAGAGGCTGTTCCAGTGCACTGTAATTGCAGTGCTTCAGAGCAGACTTGATTAACCTAAGCTAATTAGCGCACTCCAGCCAACCTCCGTGTCTCGTGTATCAGCATCCCCACACTTCAAAATGGCAACCCCCACCTCAGAGCACATATAAAAATGTCCACGGAAGCTCCCTGATGTTGCCCACCCAGGGAACCTGCAGGTTGTTGTTACAGGGGAGACTACTTTTTTTCTCCCCTCCTGCTGCAGGTATTGTGGGTGAAAGAAATCTCACAGCCTGGATTATGCAAGAAGACAGAGCAGCTGCTTCTGTCCTTAACCTTTGGAAGCCCATCTTTTTTCCCCTTGAGTGAATGCTTATTAATACAATGAGGCTTTTCTCTCATAGGAAAGAAGTGAGCATTTGTATGACTGTGTTGCTGGATGTTCATCCTTGACAACTTTTCTCTTGCCAAGTGTTTCCTTTTTATTTTAGTAAAAGGTTTAAACTCAGTTTCCATTTACCAAGTCAACCCCCCACTTCTCTCCAGTTGCGGAGAGGATGAGATGATCCAGTATGTTGCCGAGGGTCACAACTGCACTGAAGTAGCAAGTGTGTTCTGGAATACAATTTTCGCTGAGTATTGAGGGATCGACATCTTATTCTAGACCAGTGGGCTGGACTGGCGAGACCAATGGCATGGTAGGGAGTGTTGCCTGAGGGAGGTGAGGAGCCAGAAAAGAGTGGTTCAGACTAGAGAAAAGAAGAAATTTGGGTTGCTTTATATTTGCAAGGGGTAGAAAGATGCGGCTTAGATTCTGCTAGTGCTTTAGATGAACACTGCAGGTTGAGAAGGCTTCAAGGAATGGTTCAGATGGTCAGCTTCTCTGTGAAAACCATGAAAGCATGTCCTGGTCCCTCGGTGTGCATTTAGAAAAGCACCTGTGGACTGTTCATTGCACACAAAAGTCACTCATGAGCAGCAGTGGTCATCAGCACATTGTGTGTGTGGGTGCACGTGTTAGCTGAAATGGTGTGGTGTGGCTCTGTTTGGGAGGGGGGTGAATGTGACGGCTTCATTGCACCAGGTGAAGAGGTCTTGAGCACTAAAGTTGCAACACTGCGAGAATCCTGTGCGCTTCACCTTTTGTTTTTTGTGGAGGCGGGGGGGGGTTTGCTTATTTGGAGATGTAACTTGTACCTTACCCATGCGACCGAACAAACTGTGACTTGAATGCAGGGAGAGCTATAAGTTTCAGGCTCGTATTCTTACAAGGAACCTGCAGGAGTTCAGAATTCGGTGTCTTAGCCTCCTTTATAAACGCTAGCTTTCAATTTCTGCTTGTGTCTACCTCACCTCCCAACGCAGTGACATGGTGGAAGTCTAGTCCCTTAAGCAGTCAGACTTTAGGAAGTGTCCAGCTTGACACGCATCAAGCCTAGTTGTCAGAGGTGCTGAGCCCTGATGACCTTCTGATGGGATCTCTGGGTGCCCACGACCTCTGAAACCTAGGTCCAGCACCGTCTCATGCTGGGTGATCCAAAGTGATGGCTGCTTCTGGAAGCAATGGCCTTAAGCACCATTGGCACAGATAAGGATCCTCAACTCCTGACCAGGATCTAGGCAACAATGTGGAAACTCGCACAGATTTGGTTTCCTTCTTGCATGCTCAGCTGGGTCCGTTGATTGTTGTTATTGGCATCTGCTTGGACCTGCTGCATCACGTGGTCTTGACAAGTTTGCACTTTTTTTTTTTTAAACTGGTTCCTTTTGTAGGTCTAAAATAAGTAAAAGAATGCATCACTTTTCACCCTCGAGTTTTTGCCTTGAGGCCAAATCACTGTGCGTCTAACCCACCTCTCTTTTGTTTTAGTTCTACATTTTTGTGTCTTTCTGTTGTCGACGTCAGGGGGGAGGGGGGCCGATTAAGCGCACAGCCGCGTGCACACACGAGAACTAATGCATTTTGATTTCCATTCATTTCAAAGTGATCTGTTTTTGGAAACGTTCTGTTTTTCTTTTGTGTGTGTGTGTGTGTGTGTGTGTGTGTGTGTGTGTGTGTGTTTTTTCTTGCAGCTTCTGAAGTCTCCCCATAGTCGGTTGCTCCATCACATCCCTAGTGCCTGAATTTGATCCATGTGGCCATCCTAGTTCTCCATAGCTTCTCTCTCATTTTGTTGTTTAGTTTTTTGTTCTGTAGTGTTGTGATGTTGTGGCATTTTTGTCTTTTTTGTTTTTGTTTTTGTTTTTCCTCCCCCTCCTTCCTCCTGAAGAGGTTGATCTCTCGTGGCCGCCTCTCACCTCTCTTCTGTTTGTTCCCACACCCTCCCTCCTAACAGATCAAAGTGGTGAATGCGTTCCGTAGCTCCTTGTACGAAGGCCTTGAGAAACCCGAATCCAGAAGCTCCATTCATAACTTCATGACTCACCCAGAGTTCATCCGGGAGGAATACGAGTCTCAAACCCCATTGGAATACGAGTCTCAAACCCACGATGACGCTGCAGATGACCCCGGGATTGACGGACTCTAAAAGTGAGGTGGGGGTAACCCAGGCGGATCCTTATCCCTGAACAAAAAATAACAATGCAGTGGACCGTGATCTAGCCCAGGTCCTCGTCCCGGAGTCTGAAAGCCCCTGACACAGCTTGGAGACATCGGTTTGACCTTTGAACTTTGATCCCCCCCCTCCACCTTTTGCTCCACACCTGTGTGACATTGGCACCAATAACTGGTCTCGCACTGCGGTCACGTCATGTCAACTGCTCATGCGTATATAATTTGATTTTCTTTTGATGATTTAGTGGCAGGAACTGGAGTAGGGGGGGGGGGGGGGGGGGCGGCGGCGATGGGATTAAGCAAACATTGTGAGGATGTGTTGTCACCCCCAGCGGCACTCGCCCAAGTGAAAAAACAGCCAAGTCAATATTTCTTCTCCTTGAGTTGGTTTCCGGGTGTCATTGTGGGGGGGTGTCCATTTTGAAACAATGCATGTTCAAAGAAAAGGTTGAATTGTCTTACAGAGTCTTACGTGTGCACTCAGTAGTCCAGTATCAAGGGTGCTGTTGTGATTTTTCTTTTTTCTTTTGCTTGTGGAATTTTACCCCTGGATAAATCCACATGTGAGGAAAAAGCACGAAAGTGCAGGTTCAAAAATTATATGGCAAAAACCTTTAAAAAAAAAAAAAAAAGGAGAGGGAAGGAGTTGTGGGGGGAAATGCTGATATTGCCCACAGAGACTCTGATGGTTACAGTTGTTAAAAGTCTTCCACCTTGGAAAAAAATGGTACCTAACCTATACACTATTTTTGTTTTTTGTGCGCCTCTCTTTATCTCTCTCTTTTTTTCTGTCTCCAAAAGTAGTAATTGTCATAAAAACATGGGATGAAGGACATTTTAAGAGTCTTAAGTGTATTGGATTTGATGAAAATGCCCCTGTTTGGTTTTTTTTGTCACAAAGCACCACGGAAGATGCCACCACCAGTCGGAGTGCCACGACTGGAAAGAGCAGGTCTCCTCTTCTTACGGATCTTCATAGAAGCATCTTTTTTTTGTTGCTCTGAACCGTTTGAAATCGGACGGCAGGTTTTTCGATGGTTGGTGGGAGTTGTGTGTAACTTCACAGCTGACTA